TCTGCTGCCTGCATCATTCTCATCACTATTCTACATCAATGATAATATTGCATTAAAATGAATTACTTACTCCAGCATATCATTATTTTTTATTCTTACCTGATCGCTTAAAAATGAGTGTTCATGTCCCTCAGATCACCAGTTTACTCTGTCTTCGTAAGAAACAAACTTATATAGGCATTCCGAGTCAAAAGGGGGTAAGTCAATTGGCAACATGATGTGCTTTATATCAAGATAACATGTAAGAACATTTACGTAAACCCTCATTATTTTCTCAGCAACAAATTGTAAAGAAATTTTAGCCCTTCCTGCCCTGAGTCTAGCACAGTGTGATTCTATAACCAGCATTAACTTAGAGGCAAAGAACAATGGGCTTTATGTTTCTGAAACTCCACCCTAGAGAAGGTTAAGTGACAAATAATCGCACAAGTATCACAGTAATCATAAGAAATATGAATATAAAGTTGAGAATGGCTTGTTGATAATAGGTATGAAGAGATAAAGGAGACTTGACCAATTATAGTGTTTCATTTTTCCATGAAATCTGTCCTTTTCTTCACCTCTCCATCTTTTTAAAGAAAGTGTTGGACTGCTCAATGTGGCCCATTTGTTTGACTCTTCATACTTTCCCATATAGTCAGCAGACCTACCTGTGTTGTCTCTGATGGGCAGAAGGACTAAGATATCATTTACATGTTGAAATAGATCATTAGTTTGTGAGTCATGGAAGAAAGGTTAACACTGTCAGAGAAGTTGATAAATGTAGTTAACACAGAATAAAAAGTTGAAATTGGCATCCCAGATTTTAGTAACATTCATCCAACTTCAGTATCCTCTATTTGCATCCAAACCTCACTTGTGAATAATTATTCTAATCAATAGGTATAAATTCACAATTATTTTAGATTGAATATTTGAAAGAAGTCAGGGTTCAGGGTATAATTACAAAGAAACATCTAGAGATTTTCTCTTTTTTAAAATTCTTGTGAACCACTGGTTTGCACTCTTCATTTTATCATTTTTAAAGGCTGCTTGATGTAATTCAATATTTTCACTCATTAGCTAATGAGTGTTGCTGCGTCATAGAAGTACTAACTGGCAAACACTATAATTTCCCCATTTGTACACAATGATGTTCACTGATTTAAACTAAATTTGAATTTCACCAGCTCTATTAATGAAGATGATTGGAAGCACAATCTCAAATTTGATGTTCCAAAAGACACAATAAACTTCAGAACTTAGCAACAAGACATGTATCTCATCAAATGTGAGTTCCATTCCTTGTTTGTCTCATTTTCACTGAGAATAGTTCAATTGTATCAGGTCAATAAAATATAATACTGATAGTTAGCATGTACCACCCTATAAAATGCATAGTTATCACTATGTATCTCAAAAGGATTATAATTACATCCAAAATTGTTTATACCATGTAAACCCATAGATTGATTTTAAGTCATTTGTTTCTTGGAAAATCCAGAAATATGTTAAGAAAACAAAAATAGCAGGCAACCTGCATGTGATGGTAAGCAGGAAGCATGGAAGAAAAGATAAGGTCTGAAAACAAATGCTGTCTTCATATAGATGGGATTCCAGCCTCCAATGAATCCATTGTCTTCTTTCTGAAATACCATTCTGTTTAACTCATTAGGTATTTGACCTTGCCAGATCTTCTACAAAGTAATACGTATACAAAAATGCAATATATTATTCAAACTACTAAATTCTATTTCTTTGATAATCACTACCTCGGTTAACCATGTCATTTATAACTTATTGATATCACAAATACTGAAATTATTTTAATCTTACATTATTTTTATCGGTCTTCTCAACGAATCTATCACCCTTAAGTAACTGTATCTAATAAGCTAATACAAATTGGGTGTGTAGTATCTCTGCTTGTAACATAACTCTACATATTCATGAATTTTGTTACTTATTTAAACATTCCTGTTAGAAATAAGATAAATGACATGTGAGTGAAAAGAGACAGCAATACTGTTCTGTGCCCACACAAATGTAAACTCTACCATGTTTTTAACAAATTACTTAACTGTGTTATTATGTACCTTCTTTGTTTCCCAATTTTAAGCTGGCTTCCCAACATATGCCCTTACTGCATATTTTCTGTAGTAAGGAAGATATAAGATAAATAGATAGACAGACAGACGATAGATATAGTATAGAGATAGAGATAGAGATAGAGATATCAAATCCCTCTAAACAATTCTAAGCTGAAATATATAGTATAACTTACAAGAGACTACTAAAATATATATTGAGGATCTAGAAAGGTGGTTCAGTGGGTAAAAACACTTGATGCAGAATCACCAGGACCTACGTTCAGATTCCAGCACTCATTTTGACGATTATGAATATGAAAACATATGTCTGTAGCCCCAGAAATGCAGAAAACAAGAGAGTTGCTGGGACTTGCTATTAGGAGAAAGTGTTCAATTCAGTGACAGATGCTGTCTGAAAGGCATAAGGCAGAGAAAAACAGAGCAGCAAACCACTTATGAATGGCATGAACAGGAACCCACTGTCACACATGTACATATACCAACACACACACACACACACACACACACACACACTGAATTAACAACCCCTGACATCACTACCATTTTTTGTCGCATCTTCCACCTCTCATACTGACCTATACAAACAGTAAATTATACTTGATACCCAGAATATGTTAAGCTAACTTTGTTTCCCAACTTGGGCACAATTTCTAGCCTAATGGTTACTTTTCAGGGAGACTAATATTTGATATTTATCAGTTTCCTGGTGAGATCTAAAGATTTTTCACTTTTAATCATTCAGGCAAAGGCACTATCCTCTACCCTATCTCTGTATTTTCCTGCACAAATAATAGACAATTCCCTTCATAAACATAATGCCTGCAGCTTTACATCATTCGAATGGCAATCTAAGCCAGTACATGGTAAATATTAGGAAATTCATTATTAGTGAAGAATAAAAAACAAACCACAGAAGAAATAAGAAAGGGCCAAGGGCTCTTTGACTTTTAGCATAACTATAGACACATTGATGCTAACAATATACATGTTTTATAATATTAGATGCTGCAATTATTCACCAAATAAAAATATATTGCATTTAAGGAATTCAAGAGAAATAATTAGGTAATTTGTTTGTGTTTTTACTTATTAGCTGTGCATAAATATAACAAGCAAAGCCTCCAAATGTCTTTTGACCTTTATCTTAATCTTTATTAAGCACTGTTTGGAAACTATGTGTATAAAAGAAAGTTTTATAGATGATGGTCTATATAACAAAAGGCTTATGAAAAATTTAATGTCTTCCAAATGTATCTACACAAAACTGAAATTTCTAGGCAAATATTCTCATGTAATTTTTAAGTAAGGTTTACATAATTAAAGAATAATTTTAGGAGGTCCCATTTATTGATTGTTGCTCTTAGTGTCTGTGCTGCTGGTGTTTTATTTAGGAAGTTATCTCCTATGCCAATGTGTTCAAGGATACTTCCCACTTTCTCTTTTATCTGGATAAGTGTACCTGTATTTATGCTGAGGTCTTTAATCCACTTGAACTTGAGTTTTGAGCATGTTGATAGATATGGATCTATTTGCAACCTTCTACATGTTGACATCCAGTTATGCCAGAACCATTTTTTGACGATGCTTTTTCCTCCATTGTACAGTTTTGGTTTCTTTGTCAAAAATGAGGTATTCATAGGTGTGTGGGGGGGAATCAATGATAGGGTCGTCAATTCGATTCCATTGCTCCATGTGTCGGTTTTTATGCCAATACCAAGCTGTTTTTATTACTATAGCTCTATAGTAGAGCTGAAGTCAGGGATATTGGTGATTCATGAAGTTCCTTTACTGTACAGGATTGTTTTAGCTATCCTAGGTTTTTGTTTTTGTTTTTTTAATTTGAAGTTGAGTATTGTTCTTTCAGGGTCTGTGAAGAATTGTGTTGGGATTTTGATGGTTGGATTGAATCTGTAGATTGGTTTTAGTAAGGTTTCCATTTAACCTCAAGACCCAGCATTAACACTCTGGGCATATTCCCAAAGGATGTTCAGCCAGATCTTGGAAAATACCTAGATACCCCTCAACCAAAGAATGAATAAAGAGAATGTGGTACATTTATACAATGAAGTAATACTCAGGAAAAAAATGACAACATGAAATTTGCAGATGAGCACTCCTGTGTAAACTCTAAAGGGGATGAGATGGGGGATGATAACGTGAGGGAATGAAGTGGTAGAGGTGGGAAGGGATGGGGTAGGTGAGAAAGGAAAGAGATATCTCAAAAGAGGGAGCCATTACCAGAATAAGGAGAAACCTGATGCTAGGGAAATTCCCAGGAATCCACAAGGGTGACCCCAGCTAAGGCTCCTGGCAATAGTGGAGAGGCTGCCTAAACTGACCTTCCCATGTAATAGGATTGGTGAATACCCTAACTGTCACCATGGGACCTACATCTAATAACTAATGGAAGCAGATACCTCTGTATCCACATCCAAGCACCAGGCCAAGCTATGGGAGTCTAGTTGAAGAGAGGGAGGAGGGGGTCAAGATCATGATGGGGAAACCCACAGGGACAGTTCACCCAAACTTGAGGGAGCTTACAGACTCTAGACTGACAGCTGAGGAGCCTATATAAGATGTAACAAGCCCTCTGCATGTGGGTGACAGTTTTGTAGCCTCATCTGTTTGAGGGACCCTTGGCAGTGGTATTAGGATCTATCCTCAATGTATGAGCTGCCTTTTTGAAGCATATTCCATATGCTAGCGTGCCTTGTTCAGCCTTGCTGGGTGGGGTGGAGGGGTGTTGGTCATGCCTCAACTGAATGTGTCAGGCTTTGTTGACTCCCTATGGGAGGCCTTGCCCTTTCTGAGGAGTTGGTGGGGTGTGGTGGCGGGGAGGTAGGGAAGGTTTAGGGAAGGGAGAGGAAGTGTGGTTGGTAAGTAAAATGAAATTAAAAACTGGCTACATACCTAAAGCTTCACTGTAATAGGAATCCCATGACTTCCACAGAGTTTCAAACATGTAGTCCTGCATTTGGTAGGAGATGAAGTTTCTTACTCGGTCAGTGAAAGACATCTGGTCTGTGAGCTCTGACAAAATTGCAGGGACATAGGAAGGAGGGAATGGAACCTTTCCACAGTGCTTTTCCACTGTAGAGGCGGGAGAAAACCGCAAAGAATACATAAATGGAATTCCCAGTTTTAAAGCTATGATGTCACCACAAGGAAATACTGGGTCCGATAACAGTACTTCAAACTTCCCTTTCTTCAGCTTTGCCATCAGCTTTTCATTTTTAAGAACACCATCACAGATGCCTCTGGACACTATGTGGAACTCCTCAATGACTTTAGCCATCTCCATATAGAACTTCCAGATAGTTGAAGGAGATGGCCTGTTTTCCAGCCATGTCAAAACAAAATCCTTGATCACACTATCTATTTTTTCCTTGCCAAAGGGCACTGGATAGATTTCAAATGTCAGAGATGGGCTAATCGATGGTGTGATGTAAAGTGCACCAGAGGCAAGGAGGACAGTCACATTGTGCTCTTTTCTTAGGAGTTCGTCTATTATTGTCTTAATATTTAGCCAGTGACTGCCTTCCATTGGCCAGATGAGAACATTCCCGCCAAGACTGATCCCTAGGAGACTCATCTGAAGAGACCATAGCAAAATGTTACTCAACATGATATGACTTGTTGTAGACTTCTGAAGATGCTGAACAAACAAATTTCTCCAATTTTCTAGCAAAAAAGAAACACAAAAATATGGCACCATTTTAATTTAAGTAATTAACATTCATAAATCCTCTATCTTGAGACTGGAAAGCCCACCCTGAGTCTGGGCACACCTCACTCTTGGTCCCTTCTCTGCCCTCTGCCTGCTGCCTGAGGTAAGTCTGGGCCCTCCTCTGTCCCCAACTCCCCCCATAAACCCCTCCTCCTTCTTCTTGAGCCTGCCCTTCCACAAGAGTGGACCTGCCCAGACAGGAAGGCCCATCCTGAGTCTGGCCACACTTTGTCCTTGTCCCCCCTCCACTCTCTGCCCTCTGACTTCTGCCTGAGGTGAGTCTGGGCCCTCCTCTGGCCCCAACCTCCCCCAACACCACCCCTCCTTCTTTCTGAGCCTGCCCCTCAATAGGAGTGGACCTGCCCAGACGAGAAGGTCCACTCTGAGTCTGGACACACCTTTGTGCCCCCTTCACCCTCTACTCTTTGCTTGAGGAGACTAAAAGAGAGGAAGAGTTGCCACCTACACCCACTGGAAGAAGGGATAGGAAGACAACAATAAGAACACACTCAACAACAAAAAGACCAATATGACACCACCAAAATCTAGGGACTCCAGACCAACAAGAACTGAGAAGCCCAATGGATAGGATGAAGAAGAGATGGACCTTAAAAGTTATCTTATGAAGATGATAGAGGCCATTAAAGAGGAAATAAGAAAATTCCTAAAATAAATAGAAGAAGAAAAGCAAAAAAAAAAATGCATGAAATGGAGGAAAAGACAAACCAAAAAATTCAAGAAATAAACAAATCTCTTAAAGAATCTAAAGAAAGCCAAGAAAAAAAATCAAACAAGTGAAGGAAACAATTCAAACAGTCCACTGTTTGAAAGCAAAATTAAAAACAATAAAGAAAACACAGAATGAGGGGATGGTGGAAATAGAAAAGCTGGGTAAACAATTAGGAACCGCTGATGTAAGTATAATCAATAGAACCAAAGAGATGAAAGAGAGAATCTCAGGTGTTGAAGACTCACTACAGTATATACAGTCATCGACCAAAGAAAATATCAAGTCCAACAAGTTCCTACCACAAAATACCCAGGAAATATGGGACACTGTGAAAAGACCAAACCTAAGAATAATAGGTATAGAAGAAGTGGAAGAAATTTACCTCACAGGTAGAGAAAACATATTCAACAAAATCATAGAAGAAAACTTCCCCAACCTAAAGAAAGATATGCCTATGAAAGTACAAGAAGCTTACAAACACCAAATAGACTGGACCACAAAAAGAAGTCCCCTAGACACAAAATAATCAAAACACCAAACTTAGAGAATAAAGAAAAAATATTAAGAGCAGCAAAAGAAAAAGGCCAAGTAACATATAAAGGCAGACCTATCCGAATTACATCCGACTTCTCAATAGCCAGAAGATCCTGGATAGATATCCTACAAACACTAAGGGAACATGGATGCCAGCCCAGACTATTGTATCCAGCAAAGCTTTAAATCACTATAGATGGAGAAAACAAGATATTCCATGACAAAACCAGATTTAAGTAATACATATCCACAAATCCAGCCCTTACAGAAATTACTAGACGGAAAACTCCAACCCAAGGAAGATAACTAATCTCAAAAAAACATAGGCACTAGATAATCCCACTTTACCAACACCAAAATAAAAAAAGGAGGGAAATCCACACATAATAACACCACCAACAACAAATCCAAAACAAACAAGAATCAACAATAAAAGGACATTAATATTACTTAATGTCAATGGTCTTCACTTGCCTATAAAAAGATACAGGCTAACATAATGGATACAAACACAGAACCCATTCTTCTGCTGCATACAAGAAACACATCTCAACTTCAAAGACACACGATACCTCAGAGTAAGGATTGGGAAAAGATTTTCCAATCAAATGGACACAAGAAACAAGCTGGTGTAGCAATCCTAATATCTAAAAAATTGGACTTCAAAGTAAAATCAATCAAAAGAGATGAAGAAGGGAACTTCATACTCATCACAGGAAAAGTCTATCAAGATGAAGTCTCAATCCTGAACATTTATGTCCCAAATAAGAAGGCACCCACATTTGTAAAAGAAACATTACTAAAACACAAATCATACATAAAACCTCACACACTTATAGTAGGACACTACAACACCCCGTTCTCACCACTAGATAGGACCATCATACAGAAACTTAACAAAGAAGCAAAGTAATTAACACAAGTAATGACCCCATTGGGATTAACAGACATCTATAGAATGTTCCATCCAAACACAAAGGAATATGCCTTCTTCTCAGCACCACATGGAACCTTCTCTAAAATTGACCACATACTCAGCAATGTAGCAGACCTACACAGATATAAAAAAAAATGGAATAACCCCCTGTATCTTAGCAGATGGCCATGCTTTAAAGTTAGAATTCAACAATGACACAAATTGCAGAAACCCTACAAACTCATGGAAAATTACTAATGCCTAATTGCACCATTCCTGGGTCAAGGAATAAATTAAAAAAATTAAAGACTTCCTAGAATATAATGAGAATGAAGACACAACATACCCAAACCCATGGGACAGTTTGAAAGCAGTGCTAAGAGAAAAGTTCATAGCACTAAGTGCCCACATGAAGAAATTGGAGAATAGTCACACTAGAGAATTAACAGCATATCTGAAAGATCTAGAACAAATGGAAGCCAACTCACCAGGGAGGAGCAGACACCAGGAAATAAAAACAAACTGAGAGCAGAAAACAATTAAGTAGAAACTAGGAAACATTACAAAGACTCAGTGAAACAAAGAGTTGGTTCTTCGAGAAAGTCAACAAGATAGACAAACCTTTATACAAACTAACCAAACGGCAGAGAAAGATCATGCTAATTAACAAAATCAAAAATGAAAAGGGGGACATAATAACAGACACTGAGGAAATCCAGAGAATCATCAGGTCATACTTTGAAAACCTGTACTCACAAAATTTGAAAATCTAAAGGAAATGGACAATTTTCTGAATAGATATCACTTACTGAAATTAAATAAAGAACAGATAAGCAATTTAAACAGACCTATAAACCCTAATGAAATAGAAGCAGTCATCAAAAGTCTACCAACCAAAAATTCCCAGGGCCAGATTATTTCAGTGCAGAATCTCACCAGAAATTAAAAGAAGAACTAATACCAGTACTCCTCAAATTGTTCCACACATTAGCAGCAGAAGGAACAGTGCCAACGTCTTTTTATGAGGCTGCACTTACCTTGGTACCCAAGCAACACAAAGACACAACTAAAAAAAGAGAATTACAGACCAATATCCCTCATGAATACTGATGCAAAAATATCCAGCAAAATGCTGGCAAATGGAATCCAAAAACACATCAGAGAAATCATCCACCATGATCAAGTTGGATTTATCCCAGGAATGCAGGAATGTTTCAACAAATGAAAACCCATTCTTGTAATCCACCACTAAACAAACTGAAAAAGAAAAACCACATGATGATCTGGCTAGATAGTGAAAAAGCCTTTGACAAAATCCAACATCCCTTCATGATAAAGGTCTTGGAGAGACCAAGAATAACAGGAACATACCTAAACATGATAAAAGCAATGTATAGCCAACCAACAGCCAACATCAAACTAAATGGAGAGAAACTCAAAGCAATTCCTCTAAAATCAGGAACAAGACAAGGTTGCCCACTCTCTCCATAGCTCTTCAATATTGTACTTGGATTTCTAGCTAGAGCAATAAGACAACAAAAGGAGATCAAAGGGATACAAATTGGAAAGGAAGAACTCAAACGTTCATTCTTTACAGATGATATGGTAGCATACAAAAATTCCCCAAGAAACTCTACCAGGAAACTCCTACAGCTGATAAACACCTTCCGCAAAGTGGCAGGATACAAGATTATTTATAAAAAAAGTCAGTCGGCCTACTGTATTCGGGTGATAAATGTGCTGAGAAAGAAGTCAGAGAAACATTGCCCTTTACAATAGCAATTAACAACATAAAATATCTTGGGATAATGGTAACCAAAAACATGAAAGACCTGTATAGTAAGAACTTTGAGTCTTTAAAGAAAGAAATTAAAGATACCAGAAAATGGAAAGATCTCCTATGCTGGTGGATAGGTAGGATCAACACAGTAAAAATGGCAATCTTGCCAAAAGCAATATACAGAATCAATGTAATCCCCATCAAAATTCCAACACAGTTCTTCACAGACCTTGAAAGAACAATACTTAACTTCATATGGAAAAAACAAAGAATAGCCAAAACAACCCTGTACAATAAAGGAACTTCCATAGGTATCACCATCCCTGACTTCAAGCTCTATTATAGAGCCATAGTCCTGAAAACAGTTTGATATTGATACCAAAATAGACAGGTAGAACAATGGAATCAAATTTAAAACCCTGATATTAACACACACACATATGAACACCTGATTTTTGACAAAGAAGCTAAAGTTATACAATGGAAAAAAGAAAGCATCTTCAACAAATGGTGTTGGCATAACTGGACTCGAACATGTAGAAGATTGCATTTAGATCCATATCTATCCCATGCACAAAACTTAAGTCCAAATGGATCAAAGACCTCAATATGAATTCAGTCACACTGAACCTGAAGAGAAGTTAGGTGGTACCCTCAAACAAATTGATACAGGAGACTACTTTTTGAACATAACACCAGTAGCACAAACATTGAGATAGACAATTAATGAATGGGAACCCCTGAAACTGAGAAACTTCTGTATGGTAAAGGACACAGTCAGCAAGACAAAATGCCAGTCCACAGAATGGGAAAAATATACACCAAGTCCACATCTGGCAGAGGGCTGATCACCAGAATATACAATGAACTCAAGGAGCTAGCCACCAAAACCCCAAACAATGCAATTAAATGTTGGAGTGCAGAACTAAATAGAGAAT